ACACACAACTGTTTACTATGAACTCACCGTGCCATCGGTATTCGGTCCGTAGAAAGCACTGCGGGCGAATACAACGCCACTTTTGAAGTCGAGAGACGAACACAGAGCCCAAAGATCATTTTTCGAGAAGAAGGCATGTTTCTCCTGTATATTTGCGACTGATAGTTGAGAAATCCGAACAAAAATATATACTACAAAGAGTACCAGCCAAGGATAGGAGAGCAGAGCTGCTATTGGAGTCAAGAAACAAACAAACATAAGGCTCGCTGATCATTCTTAGATAAGCAGGAATGGCTCTCCAATCACAAAACGAAACAGAATGCGAAAGTTGCACTTAAGAATTGGGGAGTTTTAGGGGTAAGCCCAATATTGTCGCGTATGATTGAATTTGAAGCTTCGAAGAAAACAATGCATATTGAGCGCGTTTGTTGGATGTATTAATTTATCTGAGGGACTACAATCTAAGTGTGCTGTTTATGCGCGACGATTACAGTCGACACTACCAAGATGGCCTTTATAGGGGCGATACAACGAACTTTGGTTCTCACGATCGGAGCGTACACCAGGTATTCTCGGAATAGATATTGGGGTTTGTGCGCGGGCCTATCTCACAACAGCTGTATTTAGTACATACGGTTGCTACTAGTTTCGAGGCGCAGTGTTTTATCAACATACTGAAGCGCTGGTGCTACCTCATAAAAGGCAAATAAACACAACTCACCTTACGATTGATCGTCAGGTCCACCAGGGTGCTGATAGCCGCCTCCTTGCCCTTGTTGTACCAGCGTTTCTTCTGGTTCGACTTGGTCACAGTGCAAGCCACAAACACCATAGTATGGCATTTTCTGAACATTGCCTCAATCGTCGCAGCATCTTTTGGTTGCTGCCGGTGAGCGGTTGTGGTACCGGACGGATTGTTTCCAGTGGCTGTGGTGTTGCCAGACATAACTCCGGTACTGTCGCTCGCATCTTCCCACTGCATTGCAATCAGAAGTGTGTTTCGGCACCAACGTATAGGTCGAATCGGTGTACAGCTACGTTTTATTTGTCTTTGCAATTGATGCGAAGAAATAAACAATCAGACTGAAATTTTTGATCGGCGATGAGATATGGTGACATAGACTTAGCATACACTAAGGAAGCACACAGGCTGCCGATTACCCGACATCACTCTGGAATATGCGTTTCGCATAACCGCTAAAACCTCACAAACACATACAGGACGTGCGCAAAAGTATGTTCCGTGTAGTCGCGTGTTCCACTGCTGATGAGATATGACAGTGCACGATTATGCCATCGGATTATGCTATAAGAAGTGTCATGGCGGGTATGTCACACGCAACCATAGCATAGGCATTCGCTATGGTAGCTTGTTCCGATGTGAAAATATAATATTCATAAATAAGGTATGTATCCCTGTGCCTGTATATCATCTTGCAGCACAGACATGACAAAAACCATGCCTTACACACCACCTTAACGAAATGGCACTCAGACGTTAACGATATAGTATGCTGGTCTGCGTCTGTGAAGCATATATCATACAAGAGACTTCCAACCTTTGCCGTAGCCACCATACCTTGAAGAAATTACACTTGAGCTCTCTGGGCTGGGCACAGTGCCAAAATGATCGTCCCTGATTCTTGCCTTCTTTCTTCACGACTGAGCTCGAGGCCTACACACATGTGGTGATCAATATTTGGGCGGTTTTGCACGTAAAGAACATTTGGTGGGCTTGTATTGCATACACAGACCCTTTTATATAGCTACGTCCGTGCATATGTGTTTACATTCAGGAAATTTACGGTTGAACCGGTTGCAGGCCTTGACGATCGCACGTAGATGAAGCCATGGGGTAGTGCCTAAATACTATTCCATCAACGCTATGTGCTCGAGTAATGGGAGTCACCGTCAGCATACAAACACCCAATGCCCTACGCATTCACTGTAGCTTCGACGATGCACCTTCTCTAAATGCGCGTCCAAGTCTATCTGCGTGAGCACCATAGGTTAAGGTATAAGCTAGCTCGATAACACAATACACACGAGTGCATTGCAGGCATACTACCTTGCCGTGTTGACAGCTTGGCGCGTTCGGATCGTGCTTCAAGCCCCTCACAGCACTCGTGGGATCGTACAGAGAACAGTCCATTTGCGACAGAGCCTTCCGTTGTATATAAGGTATTGTAAACCATGTGGGTGTATACTATATATTAGGCGGTATTGCACACGATGTGTTGTAAATTATGTGGATCTTATATTAGGTGGGTGGTGTTGTCCAATTTGTGGGCGGTCCAATATATAATAGGTGGTGATACAAGAGAGTCGATAGAGTTCAGCGACGTGCGGCACTTGATGTATTTGCACTCGTGTAGGTATCTGTGCGTATGATGCTAGCTGCTGTTGTGAGTAGCGAACGAGAACGCTGCACTATACTGTTCACAGATATATATATATA